ACCCGCAGCGGCCCCAGCGCCCTCCGCCACGGGAAGGCCCGAAGGGTGCGGGCAGGAGCCGGGTGCCGGTCTTCAGACCCTCTCCGGTTCGGCCTCAGACCATCTCAGCAAGTCGGACAGTTGAGAACACATCCACCCTGCGATGCCCGCCACCCTTCTCGGCTGCTGCTCTGTTCATCTTCCCAGTGAGAGAGGCACGCCCTCCTCCGATTCCTGGGCCCGTCTTCCTTGCAGGAAGAGCTTAGCACCCGTCACCCTCACTCAGGACCGTGGAGGCCCCACGTGAGCCCTTCGGACCCACCTACGTATACAGAGCTTTGACATAGTTCTCCCCACCAGCCAGGGGTCCAGCTCCCCTGACACGGCACCTGCTCCGTCTCTTCTGTCCTGGCCCGGTACCAACCCCACCATCAGCACCCAGAGCCCCAACCCTCACCGCGCACCTGCTCCGTCTCTTCTGTCCTGGCCGGGTACCAACCCCACCATCAGAACCCAGAGCCCCAACCCTCACCACACGCCCAGGGACACCCTGCACCAGCACCTGTGTCTTGCTCCCCTTCAGCCCAGAGTAACCTGCTGCTGGGTGGAGCTCCCGTCTAGCATCGTCCCAACCAAAGTTAGCACTTGAGCTCATCAGGAGGCCGGCCCAGCAGAGCTGGGCCCTTACAGCCTAGGGTTCTGCCCCCACGGCCCGGGCAGGACAAAGCAGGGACTGTGTGTTATTAAACTTCATGTTTAAATTTAGTGACACGTAGTATATTACTAGTAAAAACCGAATGCAACCGAGAAGGGGCTTGGGAGAGATTTCTGGGGGCAACATTCCGCATGGTGCCGAGAGTTGGACTTACAGAGCTGTATCCATTTTTCAAAATTAATTGAATGGCACATTTTAGATATGCACATTTCAGGGTATGTACATTTTATCTAAAAGAAGAACAATGAGCAAATGCTGAACTCAGATTAATTACATATATGCTGAAGTGTTTAGAAGTGAAGTGTAGAGATGCCTAAAACTTATTTGGAAATGTATCCAAAAAATAAGGTGGATGCTTGGATGGACAGATGGATGGCGGGATGGATGGACACACGGTAAGACAAGTAGAGTAAAATGTTGCTTATAGAATTTAAATAGTGACGGGGCGCCTGGGTGGTTCAGTCGTTAAGCATCTGCCTTCGGCTCAGGTCATGATCCCAGGGTCCTGGGATGGAGTCCCGCATCGGGCTCCCTGCTCGGAGGGAAGCCTGCTTCTCCCTCTCCCGCTCCCCCTGCTTGTGTTCCCTCTCTCGATGTGTCTCTCTCTCTCAAATAAATAAACAAAATCTTTAAAAAAAAAAAAGAATTTAAATAGTGGGATATGCTCACTGATGACAATTCTTCCCACTTTTCTGTATGTTTGAACACTTTTTTATCAAGTATTGAGGAAGAAATACAACTGAGAGCAAGCTAGAGAATCCATAATTTGGGGAATGGTTAAATTAGTTGTGGCACAGACCTCTGATGTGGGTTTCTGAGGCCACACAGGTGGGGGTTCCGCTAACTTTGCAGGAACTGACACCGTCACGTGGAACGAGTATGTGTGCACGCGAGGGTCACCGATGATGGTGCTCAGCCGTGGTACCTACAGCATGCTAACACGGGCTTTAGAAGGAAGCAGACCTGCCTGGGTGCAACTCTATCCTGCCACTCACCACTGGGATACTCCCCGTGCCTCATTTTTATTCACCTGTAAAGACAACTGCGTTTGCCTCCCAGGGTTGCAGGGAAGGTCCGAAGAGTCGGTGCCTACTACTAAAGGGTGCTTGGTAGGGAGAGAGGATGCTGTCACAGAAACATTTCCAAGCTGTGCCCCAGGGGGCCGGCCACCAGGTGTGGGGGACACAGGTGACTGGCTCACGCTCACAGAGGAGGGTCTTGAGCACCGCCCCCCAGCAAAAGCTTGTATTTCCTGAGCAAACAAGTCACCATGATTATTTTTATTTTTTTTAAGATTTCATTTACTTATTTGAGAGAGAGAGAGAGAGCACAAGCAGGGAGAGTGGCAGAGAGAGAAGCAAGCTCCCCGCTGAGCAAGGAGCCCAACTCGGGGCTCGATCCCAGGACCCTGGGATCACGACCTGAACCGAAGGCAGATGCTTAACCGACTGAGCCACCCAGGTGTCCCCATGATTACTTTTCTTAAATGCTGCAAAGAAAACAGACGGTAGAAGTACACTAAAAATGCTCACAGGGGCTCACAAGCTGGTGAGATTTGAGACAGTTCTCTTTTCTCATCCCTGTCCTACGAGGTTCAATAGAATCTTGACCTAGAGCTTGCTTCTCCACCCCTGCCCCCACCAGACTCCCACACACCATACGGAACACAGCTCAAACAGCGCCACCTCAGGGGAGCCCCCCCGACCCACCAGACCAGGTCAGTTCCCCAACACAGCACCCTAACACACCCCACCCCCCTTGTCCACACATTTATGCATGTGCGTGATCATCTGTCTCACGGGTCCCATTTGATACCAGGAACCCAGCCTGGTGCCTGCAGCCTACAATGTTCTAAGTCAATGGTTGAAAATGAGTTCCAAGTGTTTGAGAAAGTGACTTCATTCTTTGCAGACTGAAAAATAAATAGAAAGTGGGTGGTAGGGTGGGGGGTGGGCGTGGGCAATAGACCCAGTACGTCCACGTTTGTCCTGGGCAACACGATGCAGCTCTTAACTATCAAAGAAGTACGGCAGCGCATCCTGCGGTTCGACTTCTTCCCTGGGCACAGACCCCACTCCGAACGCTCCAGCCCTGTGCAGAGCCTCCCTCTGCAGGTCCCTGCCTGCCGACAGCTGGCCGTGGGCAATCACGAGGGCCCCCAGGGATCGTGGCTCCATTTCCAGCAGGAGGAATGGGGGCACCTTCAGAGGATGTCACGTGACCTCTGGTTGGGGCTCTAAGCAACCGCTGTGTCACATGCTCAGCATGTGCATCTGTGAAATTGCAGCACTAGAAGACTTCTTAGAGGCCAAGTCGGCTCAGCAGCCTTCTGTGCACCTTCTAGACAGGGACACTGAGCCCCCCGGATGGAAAGGGGCTTTCCCAGGTCACGTTGCCGTGTAAGGAGTTCGCTGGACAGGTGTTCGTGCTTTTAATCCCCAATTATCCTACAGCTGAACTCAGAGAAAAAGGGACTTACTCATCACTATTAAGTGATGTTGTAGGGTGTCTCCCAGATCGGCTCCCAGACCCAGGACTGAGGCACTCCTTCCCGCAGCTGACAAAGGGCCACCCGTAGCGGTCAGAGCCGAGTCTCTTTCCAAGAATTACTCTCTGCTGAAGACAGCTGCCTTCCCCAAGGCTGTGCCCCGGCCCTGGGGCAGCCCACAGGCAGTGACCGGTCATTACAGGGGTGCAAAACCCATGGGATCGGCTGGATCACAGCTGCATCCGGCGCAGCTTCTCCTTCTGGGACAAGGAGACACAGGGGGCATCCCCGGGCTCACTGTCCAGTGACCTTCCTGCACAGGGGGTGTCCCCAGGCACACTCTCTGTCCCAGAGTCTCACCAGGAAACCCAACCAAACATGGAGATACAGCAAGGGATGAGAAGGGGCAAGGCCTCCCCAGAAATGAAATGGTTTCACCAAATATTGAGCACCTACGGAATACCAGATCAAGCCCAGCCCTTGAAGACTCCCCAGTAAATGCCTCCATATGGTCTACGGCCAGAAGGAGATAGTCTGAAGTCTAGGCCCCCTTGCTGCAAGAGAGGGGGGGTGCACGGCTACCCGGCCGTGGAGCGCTCCCTTTATCCCCAGGCCCTGGGTGCTCTGTGAGGGCTGTCGCCTCACAACAAGGGAGGAGCCTGCTTATGGGCACTGCCGCCCCCCAGGTGGCACACATGCGATGCTCGGGCCACCTACACGTGTTACCTCCTTGATTGCTTCTATAGTCCCATGAGGTAGGAGCCTGTGGAGCCCGTTTTGCAGAGTTGGAAACCGAGCCATGGAGAGGCTGAATACCTTCCCCCAAATCAACTAACCTGTTCATCTCAGCGCCAAGACTGCATCCCTGGTGGCTGGACCCCACAGCCCAGCTCTTGGTCCCTACGTCCCACCTGCCCTTCCTTCAGATGTCAGATGGAACCTAACCAAGGATGGAACCTAACCAATGGCCCCCCGGGCTCTAGCCCTATCTTTCATATCTCCCTGGAGCTGGAACAGTCAGAATGTGCCTTTGACTTGTCTCATTCCCCTTTCTAAAGAAAACCATGTGTTTACTCTCTCATGCCAAAGTTACAACAGAGCTGAAGTTTTGCCAGTGTTGACTTTAAACACTGGGCAGAGGGGTTAAAATCCTTCTCCCCGGTGCCTGTTTATGTTTCCAGAGCAAAAGGAGGTCGCTTAAAAAACGAACTCGGATCTACTGGGTGATACCTGCAGAAAGGCAGGGACTCCGGCCAGTGGACTCAGGCCCCTCCCAGCCTCGCCTCTCCCCTCCCCGTGTCCAGCTCTGCAAGGCTCCGAGGGTCCCCTGCTCCGTTCTCCCGTTCTCCCAGAGACGCTGAGCAGCTCCCTCTTCTGTTCTGTCTCCTGCTGGGACCAGAGCTCAGCTCAGCGGGTGGGGACCCTGACGGCTTCGCATTTAAGCATTTAGATACGGCGCGCCAGCAACATTCAAGGAGGAAGCAAGGGCTAGTAAAAACCAAGGGCTCCGGCCAGAGTTCACGTTCATCCCCTCGGGGAACCTGGGATACCCTCACCCCTCACCTCTCTGCCAAGCAGCCTAGTAGGCACACAGCCAGCTCTGCAAGGACAATGCAGACAGACAGGGATGTGTCCTGTAGCACCACACACGTGCACATACTCTCTCTCTCTCTCTCTCTCTCTCTCTCTCTCTCTCTCTCTTCTCCGTACGGCAGAACCAAAATCATGCTTTTCCATACCCCTCCCGGAGGATGCCGAGAAGAAGCAAACCCTCCATCCCCAGCTCCCCAGGAACCCGTGAGAAGAAGCTGCACTTACCATTCTCCCTCCGAGGAAAGATTCTCTTCTGCAAACTCATGCCGTGAGGCTTTGAGGATGGGGCTGAGCCACGAAAAGCCCCTCGGAGCCCCAGCCGGATAAAGAAGTCCCGGGGATCACTGGCAGCTTCTGGGCGGGGAATATTTGAGTATAAGTTAAAACTACGAAGTAGCTAGCTCCTCGTTAGAACTGTTTTTCCCCCAGCAGGGAGGAAGGAAAAAAATCCCTTTCCCTCTGCCAGCAAATCTTTAAAGTCTCACAACGGTTACTTCCAACCCCTGCCCCTCTTGCGAAGCAAATGCGCATGAAAGCGATGTTATTTCACTGAATCAAGCCCTCAGATCATAAGCCTTTTCCTGTACCACAAACAGAAATGTAAAACCTCAAACTTTCCTTTGGACTCAGACTCTGTTGGGAGCGGACTGAACACAACCCTCTCTGAGGTCGAATGTATGGAAAATGTGCTAAACTGTTTAGATCATCCCCAGCGTTAGACTCTGCTCCCCACCTCCCAACTTTTTTTTTTTTTAATGAGTTCTGGTGTGTTTATGTAATTGCAAGGGACAAACACAACACCTAAAATCGCTGCCCAAAGTTGAAGTGATTCATTTTCTCCTTCACACACACCACACACAAACACAGAGCCTGTTTAATCCAAGTGAAAACGCCTTTCATAAAATCTGCTAAGGGCTTGGGCAGAGCGGCTGGTGGTGAATGCAGTCTGTGTCCCCAGAAAGGCAGTTGGGCTCCAGGGAAGGTGGAGGCTGACTTTAATCAGGACAAACAGAAGGCGCTCTGACTCCCACCCCTGTCGGGACAAGCAGGGATAAAAGAAAAGTGGGCATGAGCCCTGGCTAGCTGGGCTCTAAAATGTATTTTCCCTGTTTGCCTTCTCATACCAGGAGGTTTTATTTTTAGACTTGGATGAGATGTACTATTATTTTAAGAGACCAACTTGATTGCGGGGTTATATAAATCCTTGGATTCCCCACTGAAAAGACCAAAAGAATATACAATAAGTGGGCACAGAGTCAGGCTTGAAAACTGGGGAAGAATGTGATTGTTTTGGGGGATACAGCCATGAAGGGTCAGACTGGAAGGAAAGGCTGCTCCATCTGATAGAGAGAAAAACCCACCGGGGAAGCAAGTGACACAGACCCTGGTCCAGTTCCGGGGTTACCTGTTGCCTGCCAAGAGCCCCCCGGCTTCCCGGGTTGGGTCCCAGCCTTGGCCAATGTCAGCGCCGCCACCGCTCAGGACCTTGGAGAGTCAAAGGCTCCCGAATTACCATCACTTAGCTCAAACCACCTCCGGGTCGCTATGGTCCCTCGACCAACACACACACCCTGGCAGGTTGCCAGGAAAACCTCTGTTATCAGCACCTGGAGTGGGGACAGCTCCCTGACGGTCATCCCCATCCCGGTGCCCGCTGGCTCCCCATCCCGGTGCCCGCCGGCCCTATCTTGCTCTGAAGAACCAAGTAGCCGCCCAGGCCCCGAAAATGCAGGACACTCCAAACCTGGCCGTGCATCCTAGTGGGACCCAGCTGTAGCAACAAAGAAAGCTGGGCTACCTAAGCAGGGAATGCTTTGCAGAAATTAAAATGATGTGATAAAGTAATATTTATTGTTGTAGAAAGAGGTCAGCCCCATATTGCTAAGTGAAAAAAAAAATAGGATGCAAATTGCAAAGTGTGCAGTATGATCTATATACATGAAAGAAGATTAAATTTGGAGAAGTAAAATTATGGGTGGTTTCCTCTATGGACATCCCCATATCCATGATGATACCCCCACGATTTAGGGAGTGGTAACAGCTTTCCATTCATACCATCTAGAGGATGACAGGAAAAAAAATTTTAATTAAAAAGAAATTTTTTTTTTTAAGTGAGTCACTGGCTTTAGAACTCCTAAGTAGATTTTGTCAAATCTATAGTGAGGACTATAACTTTGAAAAGTCATGGCTTTTGACATGCAGAAGAATGAAACTGGACCATTTCCTTACACCACACACAAAAATAGACTCCAAATGGTTGAAAGACCTCAATGTGAGACAGGAGTCCATCAAAATCCTAAAGGAGAACACAGGCAGCAACCTCTTCGACCTCAGCCGAAGCAACTTCTTCCTAGAAACATCGCCAAAGGCAAGGGAAGCAAGGGCAAAAATGAACTATTGGGACTTCATCAAGATAAAAAGCTTTTGCAAAGCAAAGGAAACAGTCAACAAAACCAAAAGACAACTGACAGAATGGGAGAAGATATTTGCAAATGACATATCAGATAAAGGGCTCGTATCCAAAATCTATAAAGAACTCATCAAACTCAACACCCAAAGAACAAAGAATCCAATCAAGAAATGGGCAGAAGACATGAATAGACATTTTTCCAAAGAAGACATCCAAATGGCCAACAGACACATGAAAAAGTGCTTGGGCGCCTGGGTGGCTCAGTTGGTTAAGTGACTGCCTTCGGCTCAGGTCATGATCCTGGAGTCCCGGGATCAAGTCCCGCATCAGGCTCCCTGCTCATCAGGGAGTCTGCTTCTCCCTCTGACCCTCCCCCCTCTCATGTGCTCTCTCTCTCCTCTCATCCTCTCTCTCAAATAAATAAATTTAAAAAAAAAATCTTAAAAAAAAAAAAGAAAAAGAAAAGTGCTCAATATCGCTCGGCATCAGGGAAATCCAAATCAAAACCTCCATGAGATACCACCTCACACCAGTCAGAATGGCTAAAATTAACAAGTCAGGAAACGACAGATGTTGGCGGGGATGCGGAGAAAGGGGAGCCCTCCTACACTGTTGGTGGGAATGCAAGCTGGTGCAGCCACTCTGGAAAACTGTATGGAGGTTCCTCAAAAAGTTGAAAATAGAGCTACCATATGATCCAGCAACTGCACTACTGGGTATTTACCCCAAAGATACAAAAGTAGGGATCCAAAAGGGTACGTGCACCCCGATGTTTATAGCAGCAATGTCCACAATAGCCAAACTGTGGAAAGAGCCAAGATGTCCATCGACAGACGAATGGATAAAGAAGAGGTGGTATATATATACAATGGAATATTATGCAGTCATCAAAAGGAATGAGATCTTGCCATTTGCAACAACGTGGATGGAACTGGAGGGTATTATGCTGAGCGAAATAAGTCAAACAGAGAAAGACATGTATCATATGATCTCACTGATATGAGGAATTCTTAATCGCAGGAAACAAACTGGGGGTTGCTGGAGTGGGGGGTGGGGTGGGAGGGATGGGCTGACTGGGTGATAGACACCGGGGAGGGTATGTGCTCTGGTAAGCGCTGTGAATTGTGCAAGACTGTTGAATCTCAGATCTGTACCTCTGAAACAAATAATGCAATATATGTTAAGAAAAAAAAAAAGAAGAAGAAGAAGGTAGCGGGAGGGGAAGAATGAAACGGGGGAAATCGGAGGGGTAGACGAACCATGAGAGACGATGGACTCTGAAAAACAGAGGGTTCTAGAGGGGAGGGGGAGGGGAGGATGGGTTAGCCTGGTGGTGGGTATTGAGGAGGGCACGTTCTGCATGGAGCACTGGGTGTTATGCACAAACAATGAATCATGGAACACTACATCTAAAACTAATGATGTAATGTATGGGGATTAACATAAGAATAAAAAAAATGTAAAAAAAAAAGAAAAGTCATGGCTTTTGATCATATGCATTAAGCCTTTGACCAAGGAATTTTTATTTGCTGGGGTAGGCAGAATGTTGGCCCCTTACAAAAAGGTCTACTTCTGTACTAGGAATCTCTGAATGTTATAGTCCCTATGGGGGGAATTAAGGCTGAAGACAGAACTGAGCTCGCTAATCAGCTGACTTTAAGATAAAGGGATTATCCTGGATTATCCAGATGGGTCCCAGGTAATCACAAGGGTCTTTAAAAGTGGGAGAGCGAGGCAGAAGAGGGGGTCAGAGTTGGAGAAGCTACACCAATAGCTTTGATGATAGAGGCCGGGGCCACAAGCCGCGGACGCAGGTGGCCCCCAGAAGCTGGAGGAGGAAAGAAATGGATTCTCCCCTCCAGGCTCCAGAAAGAAACTCAGCCCTGCCGACACCTGGGCTTCAGCCCGGTGAGACCCTTCTGCACCTCTGACCTCAAGAACGGCGAGATAATGACTTTGTATTGCTTTAATCTACGACTTTTGTGGTGATCTCTTACAGCAGCAATAGGAAACTAATGTTTGAGTTTGTTTTTATTTTGTTTGTTTCCTCGATGCCAAAAGCTTGCCTTTGACTATAAACAGCAAAGCCTGGAGGATTCAGGGCACATTTATCCCATAAACTCACAGATTGGGAAGAGTGTGTGTATGAAGAACAGTTGTCTTCTGGGGGTGCCTGGGGGGCTCAGTCGGTTAAGCATCAGGCTTTGGCTCAGGTCACAGTCCCAGGGTCCTGGGATCGAGTCCCGCATTGGGCTCCCTGCTCAGTGGGGAGTCTGCTTCTCCCTCTCTCTCTGCAGCTCCCCGTGCTCATGCTCTCTCTTTCTCTCTCAAATAAATAAATAAAATCTTAAAAATCTGGAAGAAGATGAAAGTCTGCCCAAGTAGGGGGAGCATGGGGTTCAAAGGCCACATGTTGGGGCATGAGAAGGAACCCCCACTCTGCTCCCTCCTGGTTGACAGCAAGACACAGGGACAGTGTTCACCGGGGACAAGAAAGAACACACTTGCCGTCTGAGATGGCTTCCCGAGTGGAAACGTCCTCCTATGCAGGGAGTGTGGCTGAAGGTTCCCTGTGCCTTGAACAGGTACCCAGAATTGCCTGACCGTGCCAGCTTACCCAGGGGCTCCAGACAGGTGCATGCAGAGGGAGGAGAGGACCCTGGGTGGATGTGAGGATCAGATGTCTGGGCGCCCAGCCGGGGTGGGGGTGCTGCCTCCAGGACAAAGAGAGGCTGGCGAGCTCCATGCACACTGAGTGCTCGGTGAAGTGCCCACGGACAGCTTGCGCCCTCCCCTGCACCACGGTGGGGGAAACCCTGAATGGACTGAGTAGGTAGGTGCCCAGAGGGGACTGAGCAAAATCAGGAGTAAATCAGGAATGACTAAATTCACTTTGCATTAGCAGAATTAGTGTTCCATCATCTGCAAAAGTGAGGGTTTGCAAGTGAGTTCAGTTACAGAAAAGTAAGGAAGGTTTCATGTTCATACGTAGTTTTGTTTTGTTTTGTTTTTCTGTAGGTACCCTAACGGGTACATGCCGAGATGGAGACAGAAGTTATCTCTGGCCAGTGGGAGGAGGAGCACTTCTTTTTCTTTTACTCGTATTTTCTAATTTGTTTTTTTTCCCCCAAAAAGAGCAAGTTTCTTAGCAAAAGAGGGGGCAATATCCATATAGGAGGCCGTAGTGGGTGGGACCCAGACACAGACTGTGTTCATCACGAGTAAGAGGGCTTTGTTTCGTTCCCTGATTTATCCCGAGTGCCCAGAACAGTGCCGGGCACGGAGCAGATGCTCCAGAAGTATTTGCAGAAGGATTTC